ATGCAAGCCAAATAGTTATTAATAGAATTGTCCACAGATTTCATTGCCACATCTTCTCAAAAGACGCCCTAAAGCCAAAGATCCCCCGTATAGTCTTAACGGACTGTTGTGGCAAGAGTTATTAGCGAGCACCTGCTCAGGTGAGCATAGCACACACAAGGTGGGTGGTGTGGCCAGCCCCTCGCCCGGCTGCCAGTGCTGAATTTCTATCTACACCGCGCCAGGTGCTCAATTAAGGATGGGTCGATAAAGGGAGGCACGGAACTGCTTCAAATATTCGTCACCGTTGTTGAGCCGTGAACGGGCATCGAACTGGGGAGGCTGGGGTCGCAAACATCGCCAGGTGTGTCTTGCAATCACGATGCAAAGTGCCCCAAGCCACCCAGGTGTATAGAGTGGTATATAAAAAAAAATAACATCAGTAATAATAATGAATTCTTTTATTGATAATTATTCATGTAAATAATACTAATAATAACTATTCTTATTATTGAATATAACCAGTCATTAGGAGGCTAACTAGCTTAACTCGAACAAACCAGCTAAGCAGCTGCTTAACCCCAACGCCTAACCCCGCACTGCGCCAGGATTAAACATCGTCTTTGGCTATGCTTCTGCTGCTACTGCTGCTGCGTTGGCAGTGGTGCACAAATACAGCCAGCAACAGCAACGGAACGCACGATAAGGCGACGTTTCGCGCAGCGGCCCTTCTCCATTGCGCGTGCGCACATGCGCACACGCACACACAAAACAACGTCACCAGGAGGAGGATCTTTTCACGTTTTGTCCGCTTTCAATGTTGGTGTTGCCAACGGCAGTGAGCTAATTAAAGCGAACCACCGCACACCACACCACACACGCACGCGTTACACGCGCACACACACACGCGGGCGCGCACCAACAAATGCACACGGACAAATATAGCCGGCTCTGGTCAGAGCCTTGTCTGTGGGGCCTGGCCACAAGAATGTGCCGAGCTCAGCGAGCATCCATCACAGCTCCACACGTGGGGGCCGAGTGATCAGTCCGCTCGTCCAACGAGCCGGCCCCTGAGTGAAAGGGGCCCAACGGTTCGACTCAAAGGCTAGTCCAGGAGTCGGCAACTTTAAAAACAACAAGATTGAAAAAAAAATCGAATTCGGTATGGAAAAACACAAATCTATATCTTCTTGGTTCTTTCGGTAAAGTCACGTAGAAGGGAAATAATAAAATAATAAAAATAAAACAAAATAAAATAATACAATTTTCACGACGTTTCGGCCACAACGCAAGCAGCCGTCCTCAAGTGAAGACAGACCTGTTCTTCACCTGAGGACGGCTGCTTGCGTTGTGGCCGAAACGTCGTGAGAATTGTATTATTATTTTATTATCTCCCTTCTACGTGACTTTACCGAAAGAACCAAGAAGATGAATCCCTGCAGTCACGAAAGATTTAAATCGAAATTTAACAAATCTATATTTCAAGAGGCGCAATGCACTGTGGTGAATACGGGACGGTGGGTCCTGAATGTTTCACGTCTCGAAGCGGTCCTTAAAGAGCCGCACGCGGCTCCGGTGCTGCAGGTTGCCGACCCCTGGACTCGAGTCGTTTACCTTCGAGATGAGTTTATGAATTTACAAGTTCCCACATTGGATTTTCCGAATTTTTTCATGGACTATTTTGCGTCTCTTTTTTTTTGTTGCCAGATTTTTATGATGCTTTCTACTTCGTACTTTTGTGCACTCGTTTTAACAGGAGTGGACGTCACTCGATGCAACTTTGACGCCACTTTTGATGGGAGAAGTACGCACGTGACATCATGTTTGTGATATCACCAGCAATGCAACTTTAACATTGGTGCAACTTCAACAATGCCACTTCAACCCTGGTGCAATTTCAACAATGCAACATCAACCCCTTATCGACCGTCACCGATGCAACTTCAACGCTGATTTAACTTTAACAATGCAACTCCTACCCTGATGCAACTTCAACAACAATTCAGCGCCAACGCTCACGAAGCTTGGCGAGCCGAATGGAGTTGACAAGGAGTCACAACCAAACACCTCGTGAGAGACCCGACGCAGAAGATCCCATGGCTCCGATCTTCCGCCCTGAAATCTCCTGGGACCACAACCCCAAACTAAACCGCTTCCGCACACAAAACGTGGCAGCAGCGAGATACGGCTACCTAATGCACAGAATGATGAATTAAAAAAACAAACTAACTCTCCGGCAGTCTGCGCTGACCGTGGTCACGCGGAACAGAACCATGCAACTCGTAGCGTCGACTCGACGCCACATTCACACAAACGAAGGGAGAAGGAGGCGTCGTCACCGTCACGGTGATGCTTGCACCGCTCCGTTACTTCTGACGCAATCACCCGGCTCACCAACCACCTCAACAACAACATCAGTCATTGGAAGAAGCGATGCAACCGGTTGGGATTTCGGAAAAAAAACACGAAATCAGGCTCGTCAGATAATATTAAACATCGAGGATTGATTTTCAGATTTTTATTTTTTTGGGGATCATTCAGAAAATGGGGGAAGCCATTCCCCAGTCTCCGTTACGCAACGAAGAATTGGGATGCTACCACTGTGGGATAATCATCCCGCTGATCTTGCAATCCAGAGGGCGCCGGTTCGATTCGATCTTCCGGCGCGGCAGTCAAAGCGACGGTGCACATTTCATGAAGTCCCCCTCGCCACCCCGCCCTCGCATCTCTCCACCCAGCAATCTGAATGGGTAGACCACAGCCAATCGGCTGTGTGGTGGGGTAAAGCGTGGGTACTCTCACCTGACGTAGCAAAACCATCGTTTTTTCTCTCCCCCTGCCGCTCTCATTGACATGCTAATATCTCTGCCCCAACCCCCCCCCCCTTTCTCTCTATATAATACCTCGTCACAGAGGCGTTGTTTCTCCGTGTGTCTCTGTGTATCTCGCTCTGCTTGTGTGTCTCTCTATGTGTCTCCCCTTTATGTGTGTCTCTCTCTCTGTGTCTCTCTCTGTGTTTGTCTCTCTCTCTGTTTGTCTCTCCGTGTCTCTCCGTGTCTGTGTTTGTCTCTCTCTTTCCGTGTATGTGCCTCTCTCCGAGCTTGCATTCACACCTGATGACGGTTGCTTGTGTTGCAATCGAAACGTCGTATTCTATCATTTATTTTATTTCCACGTGACTTTACCGAAAGAACCAAAGAGTAATTCCTGCCGTCACGAAAGCTTCAAATCAAGTTCAAAACCGTCGTCAACAGAGGCTCCCCGGAGCTCCCCCTATTTGGAGGACGTCGCGCCAGCAGTGACGTGAGCGAGCAATCGCAGGGCCGAACTTTCGCCCGGAGAAAAAAGAGTCATTTACAGACCCTTTGTCAATGTATTTATGGATGAAGGTCTCCCCACGAATGCCTCCAACTCCTCAGTGTTCACGTGCCTCCTCCACAGAGGCCGATCTTGACATGGGTGGTATCAGTCATCCGCAAGACCAATAATATTCATATCTTCCTGTACTGCGTCAGGCCATCTCTTCTCTAGCACGTGCCGCGCCCGTTTATCTCCCTCTGTACCAGCGTGGACGGCACCCTCATGTTAACTTTCTGAAGCGCTCGCTCGTCACCGTGGCGTGCGCGATGACACCACAACCACCACGTGACTTTTCTTTCGTGTTGTGCGCGGTGCTTTTAGCGCCACATCGCGTGGATTTGTAGCGTTCATTTTCATTTGTTTGCTGGTGACTTTGTGTATTTCATATCGAAATCGCCTCCAGTGCTGTTGCTGCTGGCGGCAATTAAAGTTGTTTAAAAGTCAAAGTCTATCCAGCCAATAAGAAGCTGCTTGGGCGTGTGGTGGTGGCTGGGCATGCGGGCTACGTGGCCCTCAGCCAACGCAGCCTCACCTGCCGGAGTAGCTTCGCTGATGGGACTGGGTCTAAATCAGTCAACTCTTCACAGAGCCTCGATCGTATGCAGGCCAGTTTCAACGTTGAAAGTCAGTCCAGGCGTCAGTCCAGGCGTGGAAACGAGAGGGCAAAACTGTGTCTGAGAAGATCCAGAGTTTCATGTGGGTCGATACGCAGTTTACACACAGGTGTTACGCAACTGATGAAAATATATCGCCGCTCGACTAATTCTGAGTGACGCCTCTGCATCACATTCCTGCATGATTTTCCAGGTATGGGAACTACTCCACTCTCTGCACAACTGCCCGCCCCAATTGCTCAATGAGAGTTGAGGAGGTGAAGTGTTTGATGACATGAAATACCCAGGCAGGTGCTTCGTTTTGGAAGGGCAAAGGCAAGTCCCCACCATCTTAGTCTCATGCTGCACGTTCAGCAGCAGAGAATTCAACTCCTTTTCAGAGGGAGGAGAAATGTCCAGGTCATCAGCATATTACATAACATCGGTGAAAGCAAATGTAAGCAGAGCTGCATTCTCTCTACATAGAGATGACTAAACTAAACTTTTTTTTATTTTACTGAGCTGTATAACGATTTTTTTTCAAATTCGACCAGGCCCCAAATGATAGCTCAACGAAGTGGCTTATGGTGTGGACATTCATCGCAGCCAAATACTCGAAAGGCATATTTATAAATGTGGAGGGGAAAAAACGGGAGGACCCGGAAAAAAATCTACGCGACCATGATGAGAACAAGCAAACTCCAAACGTACAGGCAAAATTAGTCCATCAGCCTCGAAAATATTGGCTTTCCAGACCAATACGAATATTAATCGGTATTCGTTTCTGCAAGCAAACGTTGGACCGGTTTCGAACATCTTTGGTCTCATCAGCAGAATCGACCTTGTTCCACAACCGCTGCTGGATTGCCGAATACATAATAATGCCAACATGGTTGACCGGTATAGAAAGCCAACTCATTTGTATCCGCATCAGACGGAACTTCCTCCGGTGCATCCGTGGAAAGTTGGCACCCACGCGCACAGCTTCAATCCACGCTCAGCCACCGCTCCCTTACTCCTCCTTGTGGCCTCTGACCCTTTTGGGCAGGAGAACGGGGAGGATGAGGGGTGGGGGGTGTGAAACGTGCGGTTCGCTGGAAGCCCGGCACAATTTTTAGACCTCGTCGCAGTGGGCGCTTCCCCTCACCCTCTGCTCATCGTCGGCCAACTATCGTCATGTCCAAGGAGCGGGTATCGGAAGACGACGTGTTCGACACAGAGGTGTGACCGCGTTGGTGTTCATCGCCGCAACGATTGTGTTGAACGTAGCGGCAGGTTGTGTGTGAGAACGCGCGTGCACAGTGGAGGAACAAAAGTGTGGTGTCCAGACGTTCTTGGATGAGGGCCTTCCTCGTGGCACGCGGGCCATCGTGAGTTTGGGTCGGTGATGATTAGCACGGTAGTCGCATTCTTGATCTGTGTTTGTTTGTGTTACATGTACTCCAAGAAAGCATGCTTGCCACCTAATGTGGCAGCGTTGCTGAGCTGCGCATTTTTATTTCGAGCAGCGGAACATTTCACATTCCTACGGCTGAGCAACGTGTTTAAAGGATAGCCACAACTTAATTCTCCAAAAGTGATGATAGAATAAATAAGAATCATTAAAGTTTAAAAGTACCATTTTTGCACGGTTCATTTATATTCATGTAGATGCTTGGAGTTTCATGGAAGGGCAGGGTAAGCAACTTGGAGGTTGGGGAATAGCACGTGGAAAGAAAGTGCTGCTGATGTAATCAGGAAAGGTTGTGATGGGTGGGACGCGTGTGCAGGATGGTGGAGGAGGGCAGGTCAGTGAGACAGCCGTGGGGAGTGGCACCCAGAGGTGAGCAGCCCAAGGGGAGGAGAATACCAAGACACCGATGGTGGGAGACTGTCTGGGAAGACGTTGAAGGTTATTCATCTGTACAACGACGATTGGATCTAGCGCATTTAAAGCAGCGTTGAAGTCCGGTGGCAATAGCGGCATTGGCCATTATCGCGTCTTGCCGACTGTGAAATCGCGTGTTGATGAAATCGAACAACCTGTGGCCAAATCCACTCGGAATGCGTCCGACCTCGTCAGATGTCGGAAGCTAAGCAGGCCGTAGCCTGGGTAGCGCTTGGATGCGTGATTCCCCCCCCCCCTCCACAATGCATAACAGGTGCTATAGGCTGCTAATACGCTACTACGTTTCCAGCAGAGGGCACCGCAGCAAAGATCGAATTGAACTATTCTCCAGTGTTAATGGCCCTCACCGCCTTCATCAACCAGCACTGACCAGAGTGGTGAAGTATGGTCAAATAACACCCCCCCCCCCAACGAACCTGCACGGCGTGGGAAGAAAGTCCTCATGCAGCAGTGGATAGATACAATGAGCTTGTACGTGTGCATGGACAAAGAAGGGTGGAGCACAATTATTCGAGCACAGAGTTGCACGTTCGACTCCACGTGAACGATCGGAGTTGTGAACGCGTAGAACAAAATAAGTATCGTTACATCAGCCGCAAATATTTCACAGCGTGTGGGGCGGTTGGTCGGTCAAGACGCACATGTAACGGTCAGATATGCGACGTTATACTTTACATACAGATATACGCGTCCATACGTAAGCATGTGTGTTTGTGGACATGTCTTTGACAGAGACGCATACACGCACGCGGAAGACAACACCGCACACACACAGACAAAGATCACCCGTGTAGCCTTAACAGACTGTTGGGGCAAGTGCTGTTAACGAGCACACATGAAGGCCGACACGGCGCACGAGGGGTTGGGTGGCCAACACCACACAACACAGACACGTGTACACATGCGCGCACACACACACGTGCACACACAGAGCCGGAGCCTCAGGGACGCGCACAGTGGCGTGCCGGATGACATGAGACTAAGTTTGGCCCGAGAAGCAAAGCCAAGGGGAGGGTGGGGGTGGTGGTGGTCGAGGCGACGCGGCGTGCGCGCGCGCGTCTGTTTGGGGATGCGGTGGCGCAGTAGTTAGCGCACTCTCCTTCGTCAGTGCGCACCACAGAGGCACGGACGAAACACCGGCCCGACGAGCACGTGAAGCTCATTTATTCCGCTCAATCAACCGTGCCGCTGGATGCTTGAAGACACAGAGAGAGAGAGGGGGGTGTTCGAAGGATCCCTCTGCAGAAGTGGATTGCTTGTGTTGTGTAGGAAGAGACACGGGGAGAATGAAACTCGCTCTCTCTCTCTCCTGATTTTCTCTCGCTCACTCGATCTTCAACTCTGCGTACGGTGCGACAGAAGTTTAACATACACTTAGGTTTTTTTCGGTAAAGTCACGTAGGTAAAAAATTAAATAAAAATTAATAAAGTAAAATTAAAAAACACGACGTTTCGGAGGCAACACAAGCTTCCGTCTTCAGGTGGAACCGTCACAGCACGATTGCTGTATCAAGTAAAGAGGTATCTTTACTGAAGAAGAAAGCTTGTGTTGCCTTCGAAACGTCATGATTTTTTATTTTACTTTTATTAATTTTAATTTTATTTTTTTACCTACGTGACTTTACCGAAAAAACCTAAGAGTATGAATCCTTGCAGTCACGAAAGCTTCAAATCTAGAATTTAACATACATACCTCTCTCCCGCTCTCGTCGCTCCTTACGCGACGCTCCCATAAACTCCGTGCATGCATCTCTGCAGTGCTCGCATGCGCTCGCAAATTCTCTCGCTCTCGTTCACTCGCTCCCCCATTGCTTTTACCATCTCACTCTCTCTCTTTTGTTTTTTTACGATCAGAGGAAACAAGAAGATGCTTGGTGTAGTCGGCACTTTGCTTCGTTCATCATTTCGTTTTTTTTAATGCTTTGCTTCATGTGCCCCCCCCCCCCCCTTTTTAAATGAAAGATTTCACGCTCTCTCACTCCCCCGCCCTGCTTCTCCCTCCTTCGCACAATCTCTCTCACTCTCACCGTCTCGTTCACTCGCACCACCGATTAGCATGGTTGGGTACGCACGGTGCGAAATGAGTTCAACATCCATACATACACCCCCATCGATTTTCCAATCCCTCTCTCCCTCTCCGCATCTCGCTCACTCGCTCCTGCTCCCTCCCTCTCTACCAACGCCGTTCAATCCCTGCCCATTGCTCGTCCTCTCTCTCTCGTGTTCACCTTCTGAAGCGCTCGCTCGTCACCGTGGCGTGCGCGATGACCACCACAACCACCACCACGTGACTTTTCTTTCGTGTTGTGCGCTGTGCTTTTAGCGCCACAGCACGTGGATTTGTAGCGTTTATTTTCATTTGTTTGCTGGTGACTTTGTGTATTTCATATTGAAATCGCCTCCAGTGCTTTTGCTGCTGGCGGCAATAAAAGTTGTTTAAAAGTCAAAAGTTTCTCTCTCTCTCCTGCTTTCCCTCCCTCCCTCTCACCCTCCCTCCGACTCTCACCCTCCCTCCCTCCCACTCTCTCTTATCGTTCACTCACTCCCCACACCCCCCACCCGACCCCTCCCCACACACGCAAACCTCTCCCTCTCTCCCCCTCCCTCTCTCTCTCTCCCTCCCTCTAAGCGTCCCGCTTCAACCCTCTAAACTCCTCTCACTCGCTCGCTACGTTTTGCTCGCCCCGTCAACTCCCGGCGTGCGCAGATCCTTCTCGACTCGGCGGCGAGGATCAACGATCGAAGGCGGAGCGCTGACGACGACTTCTACGGCAGCAAGCTCCGAGCCGACTCGCCAATGGAGCCCCTGACCCGGGAAGACGAGATGATGAAGAAGGGACCGCCGGACTTTCGTACCAAGGAGATCGACCTGGTCGACCGAGACCCCAAGCACATCAACGACGACGTGGTCAAGGTGAGGGCTCGAGGATGAGAGAGGTGGGGATGGGGGGAGAGGGTCTAGATGACAGGTGGAGGTGTGGGCAGGATGTGAACTTGACGGCGCTGTATTAACAGCACGGGTTGTTGTTTTTTCGGGAGGGGGGAGGGACCGTCAAATGTTTACCCCCCCTCCCCCAGCAAAAAATATATACTCAGTAGTTAAATCATGAAATTACTTAAAATAAATATATAGTTGGCACACAGCACTCATCTCGCCTTGATTGGTCCTGACGAGCAACTCGTGGCCGCACCGCGGGAAGGGGAGCAGAGTCAGGGATGCAATGCGTGGGGGAGGAAGAGAGAAGAGAAGGAATGGGACATAGAGGAAGAGGATGGAAAAGGAACGGAGATAGGGGAGAGTGAGGAAAGATGAGGAGAGGGAGGAGAGAGTGGCTGCATCAGGCCCTCAACGCTGCTGCTGCTGCATGGAGGAGGGGCGGCGTCTGTTTTCACAGCGGGCGGCGGGGAGAGCGGAGGGGTTCAGAGTGGGCGTGGCCACGCGGAAGCCACGTGATGTACGGGAGGCTTGAGCTGATTTAGATGTATAGGTAAGATTATAGCAATGCAGGATACAATAATACAGTGTGGAATCGCTATGGATATGCGTACGCTAGTGGTAGTACCTTGTGCCGATAATCCCTCCTACTCTAAGCCAGCCGAGCGAGCAGCGTTCCAAAAAAAATCGAGTGACAATTTAAGCCCTCTGTGTACAGCATGGTAATGTCACGACGCACAGTGCAGTAGCGGAGCTGTGAGATTTCCTGTGGGTTAATTTGGCAATTAAAGCCATAGCTTCGCTGTCTATTACCATCAGTTGTGTGCCGTAATTAAACTCGTTTTCCTGTCCGTTTTATTTTTTCAATCGTATTCGGCTTCTTTATAATTCGTGCATCACGTTTTAAACACTGGGAGTGAAATAACCCACGGTAAATAAGACCAATGTAAAAGTATAAATGACTTAGCTGGACGAACACGTATCATTCCCCCCCCCCCACCTCACCCCCCGGCACCTCTCCCCTCTTCTGCAAAAAAAATCTTGGCAGGACCCTCCTGAACGAAAGAGTCATGAGACTCAGTGAGGTTTACCTGGGTACAGGAGTGCAATCGTCGCAATAGCAGTGGAGTGTTGAGCATCATCGGGCATGGGTGGTGGTCAAAACAATCAAGGGATGGAACTTAATATAATATAATCTATATATATAAAAGGGACATTTGTGAATATGTGTCTGTTAGAAATGTTTAGCATACTTCCCGACATGCAACAAACTTGAAATTTGGCGTGTGGGTAGCTTCCAGACTGTACACAATGCAAAACGTATAAGTGTAGACTTTTGTATTTTGGGGGGCAGGGGGGGGGCGCAACAATGAATATATATTTTGCATGGCAAGTCAGCGGTGACGTCACATCTGTGATGTCACCCGCATGCGGCAGCGTGACGCAGTGTGCCTGCTGACGTCACGCATCCCCCACCCCCCCCCCCCACCCTCCGTGTAGACCGTGTATTAATCCAAGACAAGAATCCAAGTCCCGGGCGAAGCCGGGTAATAAAGCTAGTACCGTATATAGATGCTCCAGGGCAGGAAGAGGTGAAGGGAACTCGTGTCCCATGAGCAATTAAGAAGAATTAACGAACTAACCGACTACATAGAGCAGGGGTCGGGAACCTTTTTGACTGGGAGAGCCATAAAAGCCAAATATTTCTAAATATATTGCATTGAGAGCCATGTAGTATTTTTAACGTATAATAAATTAAATGTCTTACTTTTAATGCGACTTCTGGTCACGGGACCCGTGACCCGAGAAATGTTATCTTCAAAACGAATTTCTGTTTACTTTAAAATGACACAGTATTATTAAGCAATATCACAAGTATTTTAAAATCAGTTCCAAACTGATTTTATTTTTATTTTTTTATTATTTATTTTTTTCAACTCAAAATTGGCTGGGAGCCATATGCCGTCACCGGAAGAGCCATATATGGCTCGCGAGCCATAGGTTCCCGACCGCTGACATAGAGGGACCCCCTCAAACTAAAACAGGCATCGACCCCCCCACCTGCACCCCCTCCCCCACCACCAATCTTAACGACTGCTGCCCTGCCGCTGTGTACTGCAGAATGCTGCCGGTGCCCACCAAGAGTTGGGGCGTTCGCCGCGTCTCGCACGGCAGAACGTTCCAACGTGCGGTGTGCACCGATTTTGAAAAGTGTCCGCATCCGGTGCACCGCTCCCTTCGCTCTGCTCGTGGCCAGGCTCTGCTTTGTAATCACCTTTGCTTTGACACCCGCCCCAAACGACCGGCCCTTAGATAATTATAATTGACCCCAAGCGATGTAAACCCATGGATGTGCTCGCAAGTTGCGTCGGTTGGTGCCGCACGGCGAATCCCGGCGACCCGAGTTCCATTCACGCTCTCACGGCCATCAAGGCCATTGGCCATTGTCTCTAACGAGTCCTGGGCCTCCCCTAGGTTGACTCGGCATCAAACGACTCGCTGTTACGCACGGTGTGAAAACATCAGCAGGTGAGAATAACTAATGGGTTTTAGTTGCGTTATATTTTTTGAGAAAACAATTATGACTGGCGGCAGAATGCACTTTTTTTTTAAATGTGCATTGACAAAAGTTGCGTTATATTTTTTGAGAAAAAAATTATGACTGGCAGAATGCACTTATTTTTGAAAATGTGCACTGACGAAAGGCCATGTCCCGAAACGTCGCCTATTTGATATTGCTTTTCCTTTGAAGGGCCAGCGTGTTGTTGACGGATATGCTGAGCTTGTTTGTTATTTGACTGATAATGTGCTACATTGTGCGTGGTAATTTTGATCTGGTCTCCATATTTTCTGGTTAAATCAAAGGGATTTGCGGTTTGTTGTCTTTATTTAAATAAAAAAAAGTACTGCGATCGAGCAGTGACAGTGACCAGTGCACTGATACTGTGAACCCGTCAAACCTGAGTTCAATTCCTAGCGATGGCTAATATTAGTGGTGAGTGATCTGTGAACCAGTCCTGTATCCACACCTCACTAACCCGCACTGGCCAGGGTGATGAAGTATGGCCAACCAATGACCGACACAGTGTGGGGGAGGCCTTCATCCAGCAGTGGAGTTGATTGACAAAGGCCTGTTAAAAAGTATGAATATTCGTCTCAACGTCTTTATGCCGTCCCTGAGTATTTCCAAACATTATTGATTGCCTTTTAATTCACATTATTAATAGGGACACAGTATTAGCCTACTTTAAATTTCACATTAGTTGTGCAATTAGTTAAGAGACTAGATATTCTGCTTTACATTGATTTACCTATGTTAGGGGATACTCAACCAATCATCGATGCTTTAGGGTAGCTAAAATCAACACCGGCCAGTGAGACCTCAACCACTTTATGCTAGCATTTTCAACACTGGCCATGTTGATGATAGACTGGGCAATACCATAGGAATGTGGAATTTCCACAACGGGCCTTAGGGCTAACGCTAGGAATGAGAGCCACCCAATTCAGAATGTTTATTTACACCGGAGGAATCCGATGAGCTATAAAGCTCTTTCTCACAGATGTCCAGTCGGGGTCGGGTCAGAAAGTTACAACAACAAAAAGTACGAAAACACCATCGCTGTGCAAAGTATAGGAAAGATATGCAAATCACTAAGAACAACCAAAACAATGATCGGTATATGCCTTAGATTCCATGAAGCTAGGCGGGGTTAGTGGATCATATGAAGATGGAGCCGGTGTTAAACACCCCGGGACAAGCAGTGCACTGAAGTAGACACAGAAGATGGCACAGCAAGTAGGTTGCTGACAGGCTGTCTGTGCAGAAGATTTCAGAATGTCATCTCCTGGTCCACGTGGCTCTTCACACCGGTTTCCTCCGATGAGCAAGAGGAAACGCATGCATGGACATGTTTTTTTAAACATACATGTACATCTTTTTAAAATCCCTAAATGCTTGGCATTTACTCCTTCGGAAGTCAGTGAAATTGTCATCATCTAGGGATCACGATGTGACTTAATAATCTATTAGTTGTGCCTCATTGTGACGATTTTCTATCGTTCCTCGTTATTTTCTGCCACGTTTGTACAGTTGTGTTCGCCCAATTTGACTAAATGTAACAATTGCACATCATCATCATGATCACCATCAGCCATGATCTATCCACGGCTGGACGAAGGGCTCACCAAGCTTCCGCTATCTACCTAGCAGCTCCTACAAACACGAGATGCAACAATCCACCTGCCAGCTCCTGGACACACGAGATTATTTCATCGCTCCATCTCCACGGTGGAAGTGCTCTCAGGTGCATACCCTCCTTTGACTTCCGCTCTGTCATTAGTCTCAACCTCCGGCCCCAACCTCCCTTTGGCACAATATTTACAAACCTTGAATAAAATTGTACACAATCATCATCAACAACATCATCATCGTCATCACGAGGCGCGAACCGCTCGGGGCGTAGCTGTCTCCACGAGAGACCACCAGGAGGTCCCTACCATGCGCTCGTTGCCACGCTTGGTGCAGGCCATAAGCCACAGTGTTGGTGATGGTGGTGATCAGCCAAGATCGTCCGTGGTCCATGCCAACCGTGGCCTACCCCGGAGTCGTCTCCAATCCCGTGGTGGGCCGTCGATAACCGCACAATTTGAATGCTTGCACAGCGACAGTCCAGAGTCGAGTTCAATCGACGAACCGATGCATCGTCAGGTACCTCTGCTAAACATCTCACAGCAGCAGCTACAGCGGCAGCAGTAGAGGGGTCCTCGGTGCTTAATTTGTTTCGGGACGTCGCTGAAAAAACACCGAATCATTTGCGCGTTTCACGTCGGCCACGTTCCACCGATGCCTCGAATCGGCGGTAGTTTCGCAGCAGTGGCGGGAGGAGGCGATTTGCAAGTTAAATGTGTTTGTATTTTTGTTCGTGACGCCGCGGTGCACGCGTGGGCCGACTCTTTGCCGAATCCACGCCGCGGCA